GGGAAAAATGCCCCCGTTTTGATGAAAAACAGGGCATTTTTGCCCTACCCCAGCCCTGCCGAAACCTGCAGAGTGCTCCTGGAGGCTGAGGAGGATATATATATATTTTTCTTACTTACCTCTTCGAAATCTTGATGCGCCTTATACACCGGTGCGTCTTATAGTCCGAAAAATACGGTAATTCTTAAGGCGGACGCCATTAAGAGTGTTCCCCAAAGACAGCGTTGCGTTGCTCTTCCGCGGGTTGCAACCCAGGTGCTTGCAAAGGCTGCAGAGCAGGGGGTGAAATGCAACCGGTTCGGCTCGGTTCTCCCAAATCGATAGTAAAAACAATGCTTTAAAAAAAAAAGGATTTTTTAAAAAAAGTTCCAACAATAGGATCATTGCAAACCTTTTTTTAAAAGCATTTTCTGACTACCTCTTTGCCTGAACCGGTAGTAAAAAGGAAAAAAAAGTAACAAAAAGGTTCTGAGGATCACTTGTGCAACTATCAGCTGTGCCGTGCGATTTATATTCGCTAGAAATCCTGCTTTCATTTTCATCCTGGACAACTTGGAGCAGTGTTTCTCAACCTTGGCAACTTGAAGATGTCCGGACTTCAACTCCCAGAATCCCCCCCAGCCAGCATTCGCTGGCTGGGGGGATTCTGGGAGTTGAAGTCCGGACATCTTCAAGTTGCCAAGGTTGAGAAACACTGACCTGGAGGATCTCCATAGACCTGTTCTCGTTGTACTTTTGGTTGTTAAAGCTACGGTGCCTTATTGTTTTACCGTCTCCTGGGGTGCTTCCCGCAGCTTCTGGAATGGATTCAGCGCACCATCCCTTGGCTGGAGGACCGGGTGCCTCAGAAGACCATGCAAGAGATGCAGCAGAAGCTGGAGGACTTCCGGGACTACCGCCGTGTGCACAAACCTCCCCGTGTCCAGGAGAAATGCCAGCTGGAGATCAACTTCAACACCTTGCAGACCAAACTGCGACTCAGCAACCGGCCGGCTTTCATGCCCTCCGAAGGAAGGATGGTGTCGGTGAGTACTACGGCCGTCTCCCTACTCGGCCCCTCCTTCACTTCCGGGTTCGCGTAGTTTTAACAACACGGGTAGGTCCTCGACTTAACGACCGCAATGATGAAGCCCAAACTTGGCAGCTAATCAGCAAATTTTGCCCCATTTTGCAACTCTCCCCGCCACCGTTGCTAAGTGAATCGCTGAGGTTCGCTCAGTTAGTAACGAGGTTGCTAAGTGAAGCTGGCTTCCCAGTTGACTTTGCTTATCCGAAGGTTGTAAGAGGGGATCGCAACACACACACACAGACACACACACAGAGGGGACACTGCAACCGTCATAAATATGAGTCAGTTGCCAAGTGGCTGAATGTTAGTCCCATGATCATGGGGATGCTGCAGTGGTCGTAACTGTCACTAAAAGAACTGTTATAAGTCCAGGACTGGATCCTCTAGGTCAGTGTTTCTCAACCTTGGTTGCTTTAAGGTGTGTGGATCTCAACTCCCAGAATTCTCCAGACAGTCATGCTGGCTGGGGAATTCTGAGAATTGAAATCCACCCAGTGGCCAACGTTGAAAAACACTGATTTAACTCTCTCTATAAAAGCGAAATGCCACTCACAAAACATCATGAAATCTCCAGAACCGTAAAGCCTACGAACTTGAAATTTGGCACGTAGGTTCTTTTTGGCTCCTGGGTGCTCACTAAGAAAGGATTTCTTGAAATGACCACCAGATCATTAGTGTTTATTATATTATTATTATTAACACGCTCTGATGCTAAGGAGTTAGACGTTCTACTCCCCCACCCCACCCGAAAAGAACTCTGTTCCAACTGCCACTTGGGCATGGCCAGCCCGTGATTCCTCCGGCCTTAAAATCCTTAAAATGGGGCTCCACGTTAAACCACCATCTTGTGGTAGAGACCTTTGGGGGAGGAGGGGATCGTGTTTTTCTTTACTAGCCCCACCTTACCATACCCGCGAATCCCCCTCTCCCCCCCAGGATATCAACAACGGCTGGCAGCGCTTGGAGCAGGCGGAGAAAGGTTTCGAAGAGTGGCAGCTGAACGAAATCCGGAGGCTGGAAAGATTGGATCATCTGGCTCTGAAGTTCCGGCAGAAGGCCTCCATCCACGAAGCCTGGACCGAAGGTGAGGAAGAGCCTTGGGGAGGGAGATATGGGCCAGCCCAATGGCCTCTTGTTTGCAGGGGGGTGCTCGGTTTACGACCGCAATTGGAAGCAGGATTTCCATGGCTGGGCAAGGTTGCTAAGTGAGTCGCGGATGTTTTTTGTTTTTTTTAATGGCCTTTTGGGCCACGCGTGATAAGCCACTTCACCCAAGGACGCGGCTTCTGCAAAACAGCCAGAAGTGGGTTGCCAATTTTTTTACTATCGTTTTGGGCGTGACACTTCTGCTCATGCCCAGAAGTGTCTGGGTGGGTGAGCGGAGCCTCCTGCCGCCGCGGATCCGGGCCAAACCGGCAGCAACCCACCTCTGAAAACAGCGAGAACTAAGAACTTGTGGACTTCAGTTCCCAGAGTTCCTTCAGTTCCCAGAATTCCTCAGCCAGCTTGGCTGAATTCTGGGAGTTGAAGTCCACAAGTCTTAAAAGTCGGCAAGACCTCTGTCTGCGGCCATCGTAGCTCACGGGACCAGCGTTGAACCTGCCAAAATACCAGCTGCATATCTTGTTTTTTTTTTTTAATCGTTCTGTAAAAAAACCAAATTCCATCGTTTCACCCTCCTTTCCCCAAAAATGTGGTTCTCAGAAGCGTGTGGTGAGGGAGGCCTTGTTTATTTACCCTGTCTAAGGGTGAAATTTAGTGGGTGTAGCAGGTGGGCCCATAACGCTCGCTTTGCAGAGAGTCAAGCTAATGAGACGACAGCTGGTTTCTCCCCCCCCCCCAGCTGTAACATCTGCGCTGGCCTGTCACTCCGAGCAGAACGATGCCGTGATTGGCTCTGGGCTTCTTCTCCAACTGGGCTGAATTCTGGGAGTTGAAGTCCGGACATCTTCAAGTTGCCAAGGTTGAGAAACACTGATATAGACTGAGCTGGTTTCTCCCCCCCCCCCAGCTGTAACATCTGCGCTGGCCTGTCACTCCGAGCAGAACGATGCCGTGATTGGCTCTGGGCTTCTTCTCCAACTGGGCTGAATTCTGGGAGTTGAAGTCCACACATCTTAAAAGAGGCCAATTTAGTAGACCTTAACTCTGGCTGGGGTTTGGCCCTGAACATCTCCCCTAACCAGATGTTCAGACTCAAAACATTTCGCTGCTTTGCTTGTGTTAGCAATAGCAATAGCCCTTAGACTTATATACCGCTTTGCAGGGCGTTACAGTCCTCTCTAAGCGGTTGACAGAGTCAGCCTCTTGCCCCCAACAGTTCGGTTCCTCATTTGACCCACCTCGCAAGGATGGAAGAAGGCGGAGTCAACTTTGAGCCTGGTGAGATTTGAACTGCCAAATTGCAGGCAGCCGGCAGGCAGCAGAGATAGCCTGCAGTACTGCACTCTAACCACTGTGCCGCTGTGGCTCATGAGGCATTCGCTAGAGCTGGCGTGGGCTTCTACGCCGAGGGATTTCGTTCCGACCTAGGCTTCCCCAGCAGCACGAAGCCAAGTCCTCATCCGATAAACCCCTTTTATTTAATGTACAGTGAATTCCTCTCCCGCAGTCTTTCCAGATAGCTCACAATTCCCGACCTGTATCAGGTTTGGCGATATTGGCCAGGCCGAGATCTTTCAGAGGCCGCAAGACTTGGCAAGAGTGCGGGAATGAACTAATTGTCTCCTGCAAACTCCACTCCCCTTTCGCTCCTCTTTTATTTCCTCTGGGAAGGGCCATTCACCGTCCACCTCTAACCTTACTCCCAAGTCGACCCCTGTTCTTTAGCTGCTCCCTTCATCTGGCAACTCTGCACAAGCGCACACTGGGAACAGGCTCCAGCTGTTCTTCTGCCCTACTGATGTCCGACTCCGAAGGCAGCTGATAACTGTCAGACGGCCCTGGCCCCCTCTCTGCCTCCGACACAGAGCCCTCATCNCCTTCAGGCCTTCCTGTCCTCTACCATCCTCTGTAGTCCATTTAAACTCACGCCGGCTGCTTCGGTGACTCCATCCAGCCACCTCCTTCTCTGCCGTCCCCTTTTTCTTTTTTTACCTTCCATCGTTCCCAGCATCAGGCTCTTCTCCAGGGAATCCTTCCTTCTCATCAGGTGGCCAGATTCATCCGCTACTTCCACAATTTTGCCATGCCTGTGAAAACTTCTGAGGGAGTTTCTTCCTTTCTCTGTTGCTTTTTTATTTCAAGACACGCCTGGGAGATATCCCTCGAAGACATTCCTATCTAGCGGAATACTTCTTATTTTTAATTAAATCGAACAATTAAAATGGGGTTTCCCAACCTTGGCAACTTGAAGACCTGTGGACCAACTCCCAGAATTCTGGGAGTTGAAGTCCATGGGTCTTCAAGTTGCCAAGGTTGGGTAACCTTGCATTCAAGGTTTCCAAAACTTGTTGAAGAGCTAGTCTAGGTTAAGGCCATGCCACTTTCTGAGAAAAGGAAGTATTTCATAAATATAGAGCTACCTCCAAAGAGGCCTGCTTACCAGATTTTTTTACAGGCTGGAAAAGGAAGAGAAATATTAAAAAGCAACAAATGTGAAGCTTACATGATCTTTTGCACGCAAGCAAAAATCCCTTCATTTTTGAAAAACTATCTCCAAGAGAGAATTCTCAAGTGTAGCGTCTATAAAAAGTTTCAACACTGCAGTGTTTAATTTCCAGAATTGGCCTTCCAGTCTGCAGGTTTATTAACTGATGCCAGCGAACTTGGTGCTATTAAAGCACTTCATTAAAACAGCTCATTAAAAGCATTTTCTCAGCAAGGTTTGCTTTTCATTATCCTTACACTCTTTTGACACTAAGATTTGTTCACCTTGACCTTTTAAGTAGCAGAAGCTTTGTGGTTTAAAAATCTCTATTTTTGGCACTGGGTTGCTAAGGATTCATTTCATGTTGTTACATTAAAAAAAATTAATGGTTTCTTTTTTTTTTAACTCTGCCTTGTTCTCACGATCTTGAGCTGAATCCATAAACGTTATCTTATTATCAAAAAAATAGAAATGAAGACAGATTGCCATCTATTAAACAACTAAAAATACTCCGTCAAATCATATCCTTAGTCAACGTATAAAAAAAGCTAAATGGTAACAAAAAGATAAAAATACATGAAAAATAAATTCCTTCGCTTACCCATTTGTTAGGCAGAGTGCCAAGAAAGCTGTTTTAATCAATTGCTTACTTGCTCTTGATTCACCCACTGAAAATAAAATAAATTACTGCCTTCAAAAGAACAGGAATTAAGACTAGCTTCCCTTCTTGTAGCCCCCAAATGTTTTAGTGTTTATTCAGCAGAGATTAAGAGGAGGGTTTGAGATCTTAAGACATGTTGCTCCTCTGTGGCTCTGCTTTCAGCTCAGTGAAAAACTGGTGACTTAGTTTTCCAAAGATTTGTTTAATTAACTGAATAACAGAGTTGGAAGGAACCTTGGAGATCTAATCCAACATCCTTCTCAGTCATGAAACTCTACAACATTTCAGACAAATGATGTTCCAATCTCATCTAAAGACCTCCAGTGATGGAGCACTCACAACTTCTGGTGGCAAGCTGTTCCACTGGTTAATTGCTCTCACTGTTAGGAAGTTTCTCTTTAATTCTAAGTTGCTTCTCTCCTTGATTAGTTTCCATCCATTGCTTCTTGTCCTGCCCTCAGGTGCTTTGGAGAATAGTTTGACCTCCTCTCTCTTATTTGTGGTGGCCTCTCAAATATTGGAAGACTACAGTCAGGAGGTGACATTGATCAATCACATTTTTAAACTGCCCATCTCCCTTAATAGAGGGACTCTGGACAGCATACAATAAAATATGAACACATAAAGACAATATATAAAAGTTTAAAAAATTAAATAAAAGAGGCAAGGGTACTTAAAACACATTAAAAAATAATAATTCAAAGGGGAAGGGAGGGTTCTCAGGGCACTAGCCAGCCCCAGGACTGCATGCTCCTCTGGGCTCCCCCTCCAAGGCTGCAGAGCCATATTTTCACTCTTTCCTGGAAGGTTAGGAGGGTGGGGGCCTGTCTTCCCTTGGGAGGTTGTGGAGAATGTTTCACAGGGCAGGGGCCACAGCAGAGAAGGCTCATTTCTTGGAACACCCCCCCACCCAAATTGGAGTTTTTTAATTGATGGGGTCCACAGCATACCTTCCCTGCATGACCAGGTGGGATGGGCAGACATCCTGGGAGATAGACAGATGTCGCTTCGTAAAAGACATCTTTGGGAGCAAGAAGAAATGCAGGAGGATTTCTGAAGGTGGGTGATCGGTAGCAAATGAGCTGGGACCCTCCCTTGGCTGAGGCTGTCCTCCCCCCTGTGCCTACAGGACATTGCCAATGCCTGGAAAGGTCTGGAACAAGTTGAGAAAGGGTATGAAGAATGGCTGCTGACAGAGATCAGGCGCCTGGAGCGCCTGGACCACCTGGCTGAGAAGTTCAAGCAGAAGGCCACTCTGCACGAGAACTGGACCAGAGGTATCTGCGGAGACCCCGACAGAATCCCCTTCTCTGCTCATGTTTGTTTATTTAGGCATATAATACATGGACTAGCAGTGGAGTGGTGTGGTGGCCTAGAGGTGGAGCTCTCGCCTCACAATCAGGAGGCTGTGAGTTCAATCCTAGGTAGAGGCAGATATTTCTCTCTCTGGGCACTGAGAATGTATCTGCTGAACAAAACTCCGCATTGGCGACAAGAAGGGCATCCGGCCAGTAAACACTCTGCTAGCTCCATTCAGTTGCCCAGAACTCCACCCCACAAAGGATTATGGGGTTGTTAAATGATGATGATGATGATACATGGACGAGCATTATATATTAACATTTCAGCTAGGTGAGCAAAACACAATAAAATGTAAATGTCAAAACCAGATCTGTGTTCAGATAGCTAACCATTGAAGCGCAGCAGCATTGATATTTTTAAAAATTAAACACTGGACCCGTATATGCCCTCAGCTTACAGCCGGTCACGATCTAGTTTGATGTGGGACTCTGCAGTCACACTGAGGGGAAGGTACTCTGCCCCATTTATACAGAGATGCTCTCAATCAACCTTCAGCCCCCTCCCCTCAGCCGGGCCTTTAGCTCCCCTCTGCTTCCTTTCCCCCCAGGGAAGGAAGAAATGCTGTCCCAGAAGGACTACGAATCAGCTACACTCTATGAGATCCGGGCACTGATGCGCAAGCACGAGGCCTTTGAGAGCGACCTGGCCGCCCACCAGGACCGCGTGGAGCAGATAGCGGCCATCGCTCAGGAGCTCAAGTAGGTGTCAACAAGCTGGCAGCAGCCTTATGGAGAAACACAAGCACCCTGTGTCATCAGTTCTGCTCCCCAGTTCTTCCTACTAGAATGGCTGCCCCAAGCCTGAAGCCCGACACTGCATGAGGCCTCTAAATGACTTGGGAACCTGGCCACCAAAGAGAGGGACAATGTATATACTTATAGCAATAGAACTTAAGACTTATAGACCGCAGATTTATAAACCGCTTCATGGTGCTTTACATCCCCTCCATAAGGGGCTTCCTGAGAGTCTCTGGCCCCCAATAATCTGGGTCCTCATTTTACTGACCTCAGAAAGATGGAAGGCTGAGCCAACCTTGAGCTGGTCAGGATTGAACTGCTGGCAGTCAGTAGATCTGGGTCCTCATTTTACTGACCTCAGAAAGATGGAAGGCTGAGCCAACCTTGAGCTGGTCAGGATTGAACTGCTGGCAGTCAGTAGAATTTGCTTCAATGCTGCATGCCACCATGGCAAGAATAGCATACCATAGTACTAGAAGTAGCACTTATATACCGCTTCACAATGCTTCACAGCCCTCTCTAAGCCATTTGCAGAGTCAGCCTCTTGCCCACAACAACCTGGGTCCTCATTTTAGCAACCTCGGAAGGATGGAAGGCTGAGTCCGCCTTGAGCCGGTCAGGATCGAACTGCTGGCAGTTGGCAATGAGTTAGCCTGCAATGCTGCCTTCTAACCACTGACCACCATGGATCTTATATAGAATAATACAGTTGGAAGGGACCTTGGAGGTCTTCTGGTCCAACCCCTGCTCAATATACATCATACAGTATGTGTATATACATACATACATACATACATACATACATACATACATACATACATACATACATACAT